TAAGTGGCAATTATTAAAAAAGAAGTGATTTTTTTTTCTTGCTCGCTACGCTCCTTTGTAAAAAAATGAAATTAACGTCGCTAACAAGTGAATGTTCCCACCCCAACTTGCAACAATACCAATTTATATACCAAACGTTACTTAAAGATTTTTTTTTGCTCGCTCGCTCGCCAGAAGTGAAAATTAGTATCGCCTTTTTTTGTTTGTTTCGGTCGCTTGCCCCCCCTGACGGAGTACCCCAGGTACGCCACTGCTAGCTATGCTTATTCGGTACTACCAGGGATCCCTGGTACTACGTAACAAAGATATCATTATAGGCCAAGATTGGTAATAAGTGGGAAGAGTGGCTTGGTTTGGATAGAGATGAAATTGATGATGGTCTGTTCAAGAAGTTACCAGCCTGGTAACTTCTTGGTCTGTTATAATACAAAAATAATTTCAAATGCAATATAGAGTGTTTCATAATGCCATATATCCCTAAACTCATTTTTATATTAAATTGGAAGAAGGGATAGTCCTTTGTGTTACTTCTGTCAGGAGCTTTCTGAAACCTGATTCATATATTTTGTAAATGCACAATAGTTGCTCCAATATGGAAAAAACTTGTAGATTATATTGATAATATGACGAAGGAGATCACACTGTACTTTGAGTTCACTCATAGTTTCTAAAGGGGGGGGGTGTGGGGTGCGACACCACCTCCCCCACGTGTCAGGATATTGTCGGTAAAAATAGCGCTGCCGTCGGGAAAAAAAGAGAAAAGGGTGAGGGGAAAAAGGAGAGGGAAAGAAGAAGAAAAAAAGGAAAATAAAGGAAAGAGAAGAGAAGAAAAAAAGAAGAAAAAAAGAGGGAGGAGAGGAAAGGAAAAACAAAACAAAGAGAGAAAGGTGAAAAAAAAGAAAAAAGAGAAAAAGGAAACAAAATTAGAAACGGGGGATGAAAGAGAGGAGAGAGAGGGAGTCGTCGAGATGCAGGCGCGTACACAGGGGGGGGGGGGGGGGGGTTGGGGGTTAAACCCTCCCTCCTTTGATATTTTTTTGTGTGTAAACCCCCCCCCCCCGTTACTCCCTAAACACCCCCCTTTTCTTTTCTTTTTTTTTTTTTTTATTATTCAAAAAAATAAAAAAAATAAAAAAATAAATTATTCCCATGGCTGGCCTAAAAAGGTGACCTTACCCCCCCCCCCCCCCAACGGAGACCAAAAAAAAAAAAAGGTGTCCTCTTACCCCCCCCCCCCCCCCCCCCCCCCCCCCCCCCCCCCCGCCCCTTATTCAGCGGCTGGCTGAGTCGTTGCGAAATTTTCGGCCCGATTTATAAATGTTAACCCCCCCCCCCCCCCCCCCCCCCCCCCCTTGAAAAAATCCTGCGTACGCGCCTGTCGAGATGTATCGGTCGGCTGACAAGTTTTTTTCCCCTACGATCTATGACTTTGTTATCGATGTCTCGACGTAAAGAGAGACTACTTGAATTTTCTCGAAGTTTCACTTTCCTATAATATCAGAGGTTTAACACTTGTTTTTTTTAACAATGTCAAGAGCGGTACAACGAATCGTCTTTTTTGTATTTTAATTAAACGCCATGAAGCTTCCGCGCTTTGCGCGAAAGGGGGAAACTGAATTCAGACAATTAAGATTAAGAGTCGAGAACGGAACAACAAATCATCTTCTTTCTTATAATAATTTAATGAAACGTCAAGGCTTCCGCGCTGCGATCGCGCGGACGGGGGGGGGGGGGGGGGGGGGACAGAATTCAGATAAGGCTTAAGAGGCGAGAACAGTACAACAATCGTCTGCTTTCTCTCATAATTTAATGAAATGTCAAAGCTTCCGAGCTTCGCGCGGGGTGGAAACTGAATTCAGACAATAAGGGTTAAGAGTCGAAAACGGTACAACCATCGTCTGCTTTCTCTCATAATTTAATGAAACGTCAAATCTTCCGCGCTTCGCAATGGGGGTAGGGAAACGTCATTTAGACAAGGATTAAGAGCCGAGAACAGTAAAACTAGTCGTCTTCTTTCTCTAATAGTTTAATGAAACGTCTAAGCTTAGCGCGGGAGGGGGAAAACTGAATTCAGACAGTGAATTAGGGTTAAGAGTCGGGAACTGTACTAAAAATCGTCTTCTTTCCCAAATAACTAAATGAAACGTCTAAACTCCCGCTTCGTGCGGGAGGCCCTTCCAGTGGCGTACGCATTTTTTTTTTCAAGGGAGGGGGGGGGGGGGGGGGGGGGGTGGGGGGGGGGGGGGTGGGATTTAACATTTTTATTTGTTTTTTGGTCCCTTAAATTTTGTGTAACGACTCAACGGGGGGGGGGTTAGGTCACTTTTTGGGGTCACTCTTTGGAACACAAAAATATAAAACGTTTTTTTTTTTTTTTTTTTTTTTCAATTTCATTTAAAAAAAATTGAGGGGGGGGGGGGGGGGTGGGTACCATCAAAAATCACACACACATAACAACAATTGAGGGGGGGTTCAACCTTGGTTCAACCCCCCCCCCCTATATGGAGCGCGATTCGCTTGCTCACTACCGCCACCCTTAAAAAAGATCCTAGCTACGCGCCTGCATTTAAATTTAAAAAACACCACTGAGTCTACGGCAGGGAAAGTTAGAATGCTAAAATAAAAAATGCAATTCCTGTTCACTAATGCATAAAACTTTGGTTTAATAAACCATGAAATTCACTCAGCAAATCATGAATGTATCTTATCACCCTCAATTTTTGTAAGCTCCAAAGGATTTACCTCTCACAAATTGGAAGGCTAATTCCTGCGCAACCTAATTTTCATACCCTTTACAAAAGTGGGCAGTGCTGCTCACTCAAGCATGAATCTATTTTCGGACTTTTCGGTGACATATAAAAGTTGAGTTTAATGAAAACTTTTTCCCGAGAATCATATATTTTTTTATTCGGCAGCCATTTCAAAAGTTTATATTTTTGGGGGGACGCACGGTAGTGGGGCAAGGGATACTTGGTATGTAACACATTTTAGGGATTTCATTTTTGGTATTTGATATGCTCCTTGGCTCTCATTATTTCCTTCCTTCCCAATGACCTCCTCATTTCTTTACTCAGAAAAGCAACACAAACATAATAGTTACCAATGGATTATCTTTATAACAAAACTCCAAGTCGAATTGTCGTAAATAAACATTGTCTCACCCCCCCCCCCCCGACCCCGGCCCCCCTCACGGCAACACATAGCTGGATTACTATCGGGGCTGTGTATTAAAAACTGTTCTATTGATTCTCAACATTTCAAACACCACTGCACAAAACTCAACTGATTTCACTAAAAATCGGTACTTTAGAGACAATATTATTTATGACAGCTAAATAGCAGTGAAATACAATTTTTCAACTCATCGATATTAGAAAGAATAATTTGAAAATTCAAATCGTGAGTCTACTGTCAAACTTGCCGATCAGCCACATCGTCTTCATTGTGTGTATGTGTGTGCAATGTGTGTAATTGCTGCCTCTTAGCGCGTAGTAGGCCTACAGCGCTAAAGGTCAATACGCATTAGCATTGACTCTCTATAATTTGGGGATGAGTTTCATTACTTGTTTGTATGCCCTACCTTTCGTTCAGAAAGAAAATTGTTCATCGATAAATATTTTAATGAAAGACCGAATACACTGAAAATAGATCAGCTTTTTAACTCCAATAATATACAAACACGTTTAAACTTAGTAAAATTCTGTCGAAAAATAATGCTTCGTTTTCATTAATTTAAGTATGTGCAAAAACATGTTATGAGTTCAATATTAACTTTATGTTTCTCTTTTTTGTCTTATATCAATTTATTAAATTGATATCAAGAATATTTTCAGTAATTCATTAATTCAGATATCAATTTACTGGTGCCAGTAAATTTCTTTTTCAATTGCTTCCATTAATTTCGTCATTAATTATCGTTTTAATTAATATTATCGTTTTGTTTTTGATTATTATTATTATTATCATCATCAATATTGTTATTATCATTATCATCATAATTTTTCTCACTATTGTCGATAGTGTTATTTTGTATGGATTAACATTAATTCTATTTGTATTGTATATTTTACAGTGTTTAATTGACAAATTCAAACTGATTGTAAACTTTTCCAATACCCCAATGTGGGTGACATGAGAATAAATATTGTCATTGTCATTGTCATTGTCACATCGCCTATATGCTTTTCTGTCACTCTCTTCCCTAGCTCATTTTATTGAACATACTCTTGCGCCACGAATAAGCATTATCGAAAGGGTGTGGTATAGAATAGTGGCGGATCCAGGGGGGGGGGGGGGGTAAAACACCCAGGTAAAAACACGTTAATTTACCTTTATATGAAGACGGGCGCCCTCCCCTGGTGCTTAAGGCATTAATTATTTTCGGACTTTTTGGTGTCATAATGAAAGTTGATTTTATATAAAACTTTTCCCCCAGAATCATATATTTTTTATTCGGCAGCCATTTCAAAAGTGTATAGTTTTTTTGGGGGACGCACGGTAGAGATAACTTTGGCCTGTTATCATCTTCTTTAACAAACACATTGCGTAGGCCTACACTGATGTTAACATCGCTGATTTTATTCATTCTTTCTCTTTATTTTTAGAAGGAGGGTAGGGGGGGGCGGGGGGATCGACAGGGTATGAATCTCATATTTAGTTTCATTCATCAAATCAAATTAAAAAAAAACATTCATATTGATTAGGGTGGGCACACACACACAAAAAAAGAAGACAATTTCATAATTTAAATTATTTAACAAGAATCATATAAATAAACATTCTTGAACAATGTAAAAACAATGCATTTCTCAGAGGGGGGGCAACTGTCTGTCCCAACTCCCAAGAGACAATGGAATCCCCCTGTCCCCCCCCCCCACCCAACAAAATAAAAAATCGTCCCTTCGAAACCTTCCGAATTTTGTAACATCATTAATTCAGTACTGATCAAAATGTTGTTTGCTGCCCTCTCTTAACTATTGACTGTAAGTTCAATAGTTTTATTTTTAAGTAGGCCTAAACTAAAACTAAGTCAAAAAGTTAACTGTCTTTGGAAGGACAAGAAAGCAATATGAATGATTTTTTAAGAAAAGCCAAACAAGCATCGGTAAGTATATACATTTACTTGATATTAGTGAGATGTTTTTATGTAAATTATACGTCACTTACTACTGACACTAAATCAAATGTCTTGACCTTGTATAAAATATTAGGCCGTCTCGTACTTCCTAGTCCCAGCTTATCGAAATGGTGTTAGCTAGTGACCCGAAGTTCTTCTTCTTCCTCGTTAAATGCACACATAATAGCATCACTATCCTGGCTGTGTAGTAAAAGCTGTGCTTTTGATTCTCAACATTCCAAACACCACTGTACAAAACTCAACTGATTTCACTCAAAATCAGTACTTTAGTGACAATTGATGACACCTAGAGTAGAGTCTCCGGTTTGCGGCATCGCCCGGTTTGCGGCCAGGGGTATTTGTTTTAAAAATAAAATGAATATGACTCGATAATAATCATTGAAACCTACCGTGGATTCCACGGTAAGTTCTGCTTTGCCGAAAACGTCCGTAGCAGGTGCTCCTGTCGGTACGGAGTATCCGTCAGCGATGTCAGAAATCTACGGCACCAGTCGCCGATGAAAATTCCAGCAGGTGCTAACTTTTAAGTTAAGAGATCGAGGCATGACTAGATCAGTATTGTAGCTCTATTTGTCCGATATTTGTCCGATTGGAGGTGAAATTTGATGTTTTTGTGGAAGTATGATGGCTGTGGTCTGTCTCCTATCGCAGATATTTTGATTGTGCCACCGCATGGCCAGTTGCATGGGGTGGCCGCAAACCGGCACTGAATTACGTGTTTTTTCTGGTTTGCGGCGGGGGGTGTTAATACACACATAACATGCGGGATCGTGTATGATGGTATGTGTGCTGATGTGTGTACCCGCTATGACCCGATAGTTTCTAGTAGTACTTACCCCCGGATGGGATGATCCATTCGAGGAAAAGGTGAAATTGTTTAAAACTTGACAAATTTACCGTAGCAACAGATAAACATGAGAATTTGGGTTACCCGTAGTAATTTGGTACATGCTTTCATCGTGACGTAGCGCATAAAGCTTTGTGACGTACGCGTGCCGCAAACCGGTAATGCGTGCCCGCAAACCGGGGAACTCGAAGCATTTCGAAACGTGGTCAATGCTGACCACGCTGTGGGTCAGTTAGGTTATTTGTGACTTCTATTTAATAAGTAAGTATATGGACTCTTTATTGAGGGTATTGAAGTATTCTGTGAGTATTCCAATAAAAATAGAATCGGCAGTTCCCGCCGATCGGCCGCAGACCAGAGCCACTACTCTAAATAGCGGTAGACTTTTTTTCTAGAGTAAAAAAACCGCCAAACTTCGGACAAAAATTAGACGGCTCGAACGCAAAATATGAGCCTAGCTTGCATTAGACCGAATTTTCCGTCTCTTTCGTTCGTTAGCCTCTTATTGGGGTAGGGTCGGCTCTCTCTTTAGAGACGGAAGCCGTTTATACACATGTCCTTGCTAACGCCACGGCCAGTCCTGGTCGTAGCGTTTTGCCCCCAAAATCCCCCAAAATGTCATTTTACCTCGAGCATGTTATATTGTAAATTAGGCCTAGGCTATAATAAATCAGTTCCACTTACCAACTTGACTGAAATAATCAGTTTAATAGTCCCTTTTTAGGAAATTATGGGTCAAAATCGAAATCCATTTTGAAAATCTTTTTCAACATGGATTCCGATTTTGACCCATAATTTCCTAAAAAGGGACTATTAAACTGATTATTTCAGTCAAGTTGGTAAGTGGAACTGATTTATTATAGCCTAGGCCTAATTTACAATATAACATGCTCGAGGTAAAATGACATTTTGGGGGATTTTGGGGGCAAAACGCTACGACCAGGACTGGCCGTGGCGTTAGCAAGGACATGTGTATAAACGGCTTCCGTCTCTAAAGAGAGAGCCGACCCTACCCCAATAAGAGGCTAACGAACGAAAGAGACGGAAAATTCGGTCTAAGCTTGCATGCATTTGATACTACTACTAACCTACATCGTTAGTACAGAAAGTTAGGGCAGGTTGCCGTCTGCAAAACTCACAAAAAACATCGAATTCAGAGACAGATTTCAGGTTACCTGGATTTTTACAGTCCCTTAGCTTAACAGGGGAGTTAAGGTATAGAGCCTTCAATATATTGATTACAAACAAATCCTTGGCATATTTCAGGTGGTTTCTGCCAAAATTATGGGAGCTTATGAGATACTTTTTCACTCTATCGTGAAAATTTTCTGATGGCGGCCGTTACCACGGACCTCGGTAGGGGTACTATACAGGTACCCCTACCAGAAGATGGCGCTCTTCCAAACTTCGGACAGGCAACATGGAGTGTCATTTTGGCTACGAAAAAATAGCGCTTTCGTAAGAATTTTAATTAGCACCAAAATATTGTGTGAGTGTTGTGAAAAACACCTTTCTGATAGTTCTACCTAAAATAAATCTACCCAAAACGAGAAAATAATACTTTTATCATGAAATCAACGCAGTCAAACTTACCCCCTTCGTACGATTTTTGATCCGGTTTCCAAACCTCCGATGAATGCGCACTTTAGTAGGCAAATTCATGCAAAAAAATATATTCTAAAAATTGACTTAAAAACACATCACACAATTAGTCTGAACCGAGTCAGGAGCAAATTTAAAGAAATTATATTTTTAAATGTTGTAAAACCAAAGATATAAGAAGAAAACTGACCAAGTATCTGTACTTAAAATCGTACATGTAAAATTGGTCGTAGACATTCGACAGCTGAATATGACGCGCACGGTTGCATTACGTGCGTTTTCGAATCCAAAATCGTACCTCACACACACAATCTCGCCATACCGCGAATGGTCCGTCTTGGGGAGCTAGCCGGCTGAGAGTTTGCAGCGATACCAACGCAGCTTCGGAGCTCCGCAGCGCGCCATTTTAGCGGGACTCGGAAAGGTTTGCGATGGGAAGGCAGCGGCCTAGCTTTTTGCCCAAACAACGCTAGATCGGCTGCTGGCAAAATGAAAATAACTACGATCGAGAACATCGTCGGTTTCTTAACTTTTCAGTGAGATAATTCTGAATTCTAATTGAGACTTTATAATAAATTAAATCGACAAAGAAACCTCGGTAGAACTCTTATAACTATACAAAAGCTTGTTTATTTCTTCATTTGACATTTTGTTTTCGACCATTTTTTCGTGCGCGAGTCAATGTAAACTATGTATTACTAAATTTTCAACACGCTAGGAACGGGGAACACTCGCGGACCTCGTAACAAATTTGTTGCAAAAAAAAATTTCAAGGGTAATTTTGAAGCAGTGAAGAACATTGGCGCTGCAATGCGCAGAAATATGCTTGAAAGAAACTTAAAAAATAATACCTGAATTTTCAGAAAATTGTATTTGTATTAGTGTACCTAGATGTGACTTGTTTATAAATCAGATTTTATGAAGATTTGTCGGGAAAAAATGTCAATTTTTTCCGTTTGGTGGTCATTTCTAGGCTAATATTTTAAAAGTTGCATCAGTAATGGGCCCGATGTTTCTCTTATCGTACTCGCATGTTATTTCTACATAGATTAAACATAGGATGGTTAAGGGCAAGACCAGATAACATTATAAAAAAGATATATCCTTCCACCCTCCCATATCCAAGTTTTGGGCTGATTATTGCCGACCCACCGCAGCAAGGCCATTCAGATTTTCGTACGCGCGCAAAGCGCCCTCTAGTGCCCCATGAATGTGCCTAACTTTAGCGCGTGCGCTATACGTGCGTTATACATGCGCTACTCATGAACGTCCGAAGCTTGGCAAGTGCGTCCGAAGCTTGGCATGAAAAAAGGTTCGGCGGGTAAGTAAATAATTCTAGTTTTCCATTTCCTTTACTAATTTTCTTTTCATGATATACATAAACAGTATTTGCACAATAATAGTATATTTGATCTTTCAATAATTAAAAAAAGAATTTAATTTTTTCCCCCGTTTTGTCTTAAGTGTCCGAAGTTTGGCGGTCTTACTCTAGACCTAAAACACATTTTTTTAAAACTTAGATCTAGAGTAAAGGAGCCGGTTTTCGGCCACTTAAGACAAAATCCTATTTTTTTTACCCTTTACTTCCTATTTATTATCATTTTTTGTTCAAATCATGAAGCAAATATTATTATTATTTAAACAAAACAAGAATCCCAGAAAAAAATCACGAATTGCCATGACAATATTCATTTCAATTTTCACTGTTTCGGAGTCAGTTTTCGGCATAGCGTACCAGTTTTCGGCCGCATGTACAAAGTCAATAGGAAGCGCGCACACGCGCCGTGCGTTTCCGCGCTGATCTATAGCACTAGCGGGCGGAGCAGATATCCCACGCCGGAGCTCCCCGGAGCTCGCCAGGCCGAAAACTAGTACTGCGGTGATCGGATATTGGAATCTGAATTAGACCTGCGCTACTCATGAACGTCCGAAGCTTGGCAAGTGCGTCCGAAGCTTGGCATGAAAAAAGGTTCGGCGGGTAAGTAAATAATTCTAGTTTTCCATTTCCTTTACTAATTTTCTTTTCATGATATACATAAACAGTATTTGCACAGGTTTAGGGACTATCTTTTAAACAGAGTTCAACATACTTTTGTCCACGGTGTTTTGTCTTCTTCGTTAAATGTCTTTATTGGGGTACCTCAGGGATCAATACTGGGTCCCCTGCTATTTCTTTTATACATAAATGATCTTTGTAAATCATCTAACTTATTAACCTTCTATCAATTTGCTGATGACACTAGTATATTTTTTTCATCTAAAGATTTGAATAATACTGTCCGCGTTCTAAATAATGAGCTTAAGAATATATCTGACTGGTTATAAGCAAATAAATTGTCCCTGAATGTTGACAAAACTAAATGTGTTTATTTTCGAAAAACTAAATATAATATAGGATCTAAAATTTCCAAAATTTCCGATATAGCTAGCAATAACGGTCCTTTAATTAATAACGATAATATTCCCATTTACATTAATAATAAACTTATTCAATTAAGTAATTCCGTTAACTTCTTGG